TATATATATATATATATGTATATATGAAAAATATATCAAAAATACATGTGGGTAGTTAAATGAAAGGTCTTGATGAGTGTAACATCGGGATCAGCTTATATCTTTAAAAATGTCAATAATTAAGAAATGACCTTGTATTTTGTGAACTGTTGATATTTTTTAAGATATAAGCTCATCCCGATGTTACACTCATCGAGACCTTTCATTTGACTACCCACATCAATTTTTCATATATTTTATATATTTATATATATTATATATATATATATATGTATATATGAAAAATATATTAAGAATACATGTGGGTACTCAAATGAAAGCTCTTGATGTGTGTAACATCCAGATGAGCTCATATGTTTATAAATGTCAATATTTAAGAAATTACAGAGCAATTTATCAAAAATCATTATTTAATTAATGAAATTTTGATAAATTAGTGAATTAATTGCTGAGAAAAATTGCATTATTTAATTATTCATTTGCTCTATAAATATGTAGTGATATGTGAATAATAAATAATTTAAATTAATAAAAAATGCATGAAAAAAAAAAAATAAAATAAGCATGCAGGTGATAAGCGATAAGTACAGTATTTATGAGTAAAATAATGAACTGTACACATAAAACATAATTCTAAATAATTAAAAAAAAAAATAAAATTTACGACTATTATACAGAAAAAAAAAAAAATTGTATAAAGCTGAAAAAAATATATAAATTAAAATAAATCACCTGTAGCATGTAAAAAAGTGTCGTTATGTATTACCCCACCGCTAGATGTACAAGCAGTTACTAATTCTAAATTTTTACGATTAGTCCCAAATAAATGTAAGACTAGAGGTTTCTCCCTGGTTTAGAAAGATTTGTATTTAAAATAATAATTATTAATTATAGTTATAAAAAATATTATTAGTAATAGATAAAATGAATTAATGAGATGAAAAATAAGTTTATCGGGTTATATATACAAAAGTTTTTATCAGAAGTATAAATCCTTCACCGTTTAAGATCAAAGACTCACCGGCATATTGCATTATTGTGTCATTGCAGCATATGGCACCACTGTGCGTTTGATTTATAAACAGATCGCGTGTTTCTCGATCCTTGGAAAATATATACAGTACTAGGGGGCAGTCGCTGTATGTACAAATTATTGTCAGTTTATGAATTATATAGCTAACAATTAATTTTAATTTCTTTAATCTAGTTCACTTAATTAATTTTATACGCGGAAATTATTTTTGTAATAAATTGTTAGTCATTTTTTAAAGGTCTTATTAAAAAAAAATTAACTGTTTAATTTAATTTTTTTTTCTTTTATTTTTATTCAAATTTTATTTTAAGTATCGATTAAGTGGAGGTAAATTTCACGGTAATTTAAATGTTTGATGACTTAATGATCTAATTAATATGCAAATATATTTACCGTTCATTAATAAACTTGATTGCTTCGTATGCATTCGATACATTAACAATAGGTAATATTGGACCAAATATTTCTTGTTGCATTATTGGGTCACTTGGTTTAACATCCACAAGGATTGTTGGTGATATATAATTATCTTGGGGATCTAAATCACCGCCTACGGCTACTTTACCGCTGTTAATTAACAGGTTTGCCAACCGTCTGTAATAAGTTTTTAAACAATATCAGTAAAATTACCAAAAAAAAAAAAATTAACTTAAATCAAGAAGATGAAGTTCTTCAAAATTAATTTATTTTTTTATATAAATAATAAATAAAAAAACTTACTGGTAATGATTTTGATTAACAATACGGCAAAAATCGGTACTTAATTTGGGATTATCTCCATACCACTGTTTAATTAATAGCTTAGCTCGTTCAACAAATCTATTTTCTACTTCTTTTGTACACAATATATAATCCGGTGCAATACAAGTCTGGCCAGCATTGAGAAATTTACCCCAGAGAATGCGTTTTGCTGCCAAGTCCAGATCTGCTGTGTTATCAATCCACACTGGACTGTAATATAAAAATTTATTTTATAAATTCATATTATAAATTTTACTATCAATGCCAAACTTCTCGACTACAATTTTCGAACATTCATTTGTAATCTAATTTTTTTTTTTAATTGGAACGAGATAGTGTATTATGAATATCAAACGGGTCACTTTAAATTTGCGTCACTAAATTTTTATAATTTGTACTCAACATTTTATTTAAACATTTAAGCATTTACCTTTTTAGACCCTATTAGTTTTATTTCCTCAATTAATAGATATTTTTCTCTTTCTCATCATAATTAAGGTAAAAGACCCAGTTATTGACACTGACCTATTTATTGACACTTGCAATTTTATTTTAATTAAAAAATAAATTAATAAATATAATTTTTAAATTATAAATTTTAAGATAATTGGGTTTTTTGAAAACATTTTATTTTTTTTATTAGAATAAAATTGCAAGTGTCAATAACTGGGTCTTTTACCTTATATCTCAGAGTTTATATCTATACTATTAAAATCATTTCAAATCATAAAGTTTAATAAAATTGATCCTGTCTGTCTCTTAAATTTAATTTTATTACACGTGTACTTTATTATAAACTTATGTTTATATGTATACTTTTGTCATTCGGCTATTTGCCTTGGCATAAAAATTGAATAAATTTTTTTTTTCAAAATATTTTGTTATTTACCTTTTACCACCAAGCTCAAGAGTCACTGGTGTAAGATATTTATTAGCAGCCTCGCGAATTATTTTTCCAACATTACCAGACCCGGTGTAAAAAATATAATCGAACCTCTGTTTCAATAACTCGGTAGTCTCGGCAATCCCGCCGGTTACAACATGATAGCATTCCTGTAAGATGAATTTAACTAATGAATATAAAGTGGACCTTGAATAAGCATTTTTATAATGTGTCGAGTCATCAATCAATATAAATTACAAACGTACTGTATCTAAATATTTGGGTACTAAACGAGCGATTGTATCAGCAGTCGCTGGAGATACTTCGGATGGTTTCATAATAACGCAATTGCCCGCGGCAATGGCCCCTAGAGCTGGTGCAAGCAGTAATTGTAGAGGATAGTTCCAAGATCCGATTATCAACACTACTCCGTAAGGGTCTTTGTGAATTTCTGGAGAGTCTAGTATGTTCACTAAATCTTTTGGAGGCTGAAAATTATAATTTAAAATTATTTTCCTTCCGAAGTTATTTCACAAGTTGTTACAGTAGTATCGATGATAAATATATATTTATTTATTTATATTTATAATTACAATAGCGAGTTTAAAGGTGTCATTTATATTTATATGAATGGATATTCAAATTTTTTTTTTTTTACCTTCTCGACAGATGACCACTCTTTTATATTCCTCAACATCGATATGATCTCATTCAGTGTGTAATCTATTTCAAGGCAGCAGTTTTCAAATTTACTCTGAAATTTAAATTTATTATATTGATTATTATTTTTTAAATTTATCTTTTAGACCTTGACTTATAACTATTGATTTTAATTTATAATTTTTGAGTAACATTTCATTAACGCAAAATTTATTTTTTAATTATTTTTTATTCTTATTATTATTGATTAATAATTTTTTTTAATACTTTAAAAATTTATTGTGAAATAATTTTACTTAAAATTTTTAAATAAAAATTAAATAGAGAAATTTAATTAATTAAAATTGTTTTATTGACATTGATAGAAATAAAAATTGATGTTTCATAATTTTGTTGAATTATTAATAGAGATGTCAAGTAGTTAAAGGGTGATGACATTCATAGTTGATGCCTTTCAGAAAGGCATGCCCAAATAAACGGTTTAAACTTTCATTGTTGTACTAATACACCGTAAAAAATTACTGGCTTCTGATGTTATATGTGTAAATAATTTTCAAGCATAATAATTTGTAGAAAAAAAAAATAATAATAATAAAATACCCTTCTTAAATCCGACTTGAGCGCAGAGTGAAATTGTTCTTTGTTTTCCTCCAACATTCTTTTCAGCTGTTTTATTTGATGAATTCTCCATTTCAAAGGCCGAGTTTTACCGCTGAAGTATGCGTCTCTCGTTTTTTGAACAAGCTGAAAGCAAATACAACTGGATAAATATTTCATAATAATTATTATTTATTATCGGCTTCGCCTTTTTTTTTTTTTTTTTTTTTTTTTTTTTTTTTTTAAATAATTTCACAAATATTAAAGCCTTAATAATATATATTTATACACTAAATTGATACAGTACTAAAATTTCAGATGAATAATTTTTTTTACAAAATCAATTTTAATATAAAAAATAAACAGAATTTTAAAAATTAATTCTTTTCAATTTTTTTATTTATTTAAAATGAAAAATTTTCAGATGTCAAATACGTTTTATCATAAAAAAAATGAATAATTAATTATACTAAAATTAAAAGCTGAAAGTTTTTTATTTTTTTAAAAACTGAATTATTATAAAAAAATTTTTTATCAAGAAATTAAAAAAAAATTATGACATTAAAGTTAGCATTTGATCATTTTTTAATTTTATTTAACAAACAAATTTGTTCAAAAAAATTGCATTTTTAATTATTTTAAATTTCTACATGTCAATTTTTTTTGCTATTATTTATTGTTAAAAAAAATTCTAAAAACTAACAAATGTCTGCAAAATTAATTTTCATAAATAATTACAAGTGTAAATTTTTTATAATTTGTAATAAAAACTGTCACTGTTTATTATCATAGTAATTGACATAAAAAAATTTATTAAATAATAAGATAAACACTTACATCAGCATGATTTATCGAAACAGGTTTTCCGTTCATGGTAGCTAAAAAAAAGAGAATTTTTAATTATTGTATTTTTTATTTTTAATGTTTAATATTTAATATAAATTTTAATAAACTGTAAAGACTCGCAATTAGAAACAGTTAAATATTTAATCACTTCTGACTACTGACTCAGATGTTTGACCCAAAAACAACTCGGCTAAAGATAACAACTCTGATAAGAATAAATATGAATCATTGTTGATAATTTTTAAAAAGTACATAAGGTAAAAGTCCCTATTATGAGACACTTTTCAAGGTAGGTTGAACATTCCTGCGAGTAATTAATCCATTTAAGAAAAAAATACACTTTTAATCGCATTATACGATAATTTGATGATCATTAAATCAATGTTCATATTGTTTTTATAGTTTTTTTGGTCAAAAATTAATTAAATTATGGTTTTTTTGGGGAACCTACATGACCCTATTTATGAGACACTTTAAAGTCACATGTCCCCAGTGTCTCAAACCACAGGACCCTATTTTTGAGACAGTTAAAAAATCAGCAAAGTTGATCAAATTTTATATATTTATCAATTTTAGACAATCGTATTTACAAAAGAAGGAATTACTTTAATTTTTAATTAACTTATAAAAAATTTTTTATCAGTTAAACAATTAATCAACGCAAATTATTGAATTAAATCTATTGTTCGTTCTTGATTTTTTTGTCATTCCTTGACTTGAGCCATTAATTTTTTTTCTTCTTGTAATATTTTTTTATTGTTAAACTTTTCTTCTTTCATGTTTTTTCTGGATCTGAATTTTCTTATATAAGTTCCGAAAAAAAGTCACAATAAGTTAAA